ACCTGTTGCAGACCAACATCATGTAAGAAGAGGCTCAGATGTTGTCACAGATGAATGGCGAGCCTGTGGCAGGCCCTAACAGATGCAGTGGACGATTAAAGACAAGCACTTCACAAAACGTAGCTATTAAAAGACATTTTAAAGTAATTGCATGGGAATACTGTTGGGGCAGAAGGGATGAGAATCTCTTGGCACCTCACGATTCGATTGATTACAATTCAGAGGGCAGCGATCCATCTTCATGCATTTTTTTTCTGTGTAAATTCTGGATAATTACTAGCATTTCGTTTACACATTAAAATTCAAAAGAAATGTCTCCTCAATTGCTTAAAAGACTAGTTTACATCCCTGATTTACTTTAGTAGCCTCAGCTCCTCCGTGGTCACCAGCATTGTCAGACTCCTCTGGACACTGAAATATAATTTAACTATCAGGATGTACAGCATGTGTACAGGACACCAGTTAAGCTTCAACCTGCTGTTCTCATTCCTCAACAAGTTAAGTAGTAATGCCACGCAACTAATTAACATTACTCCGTTACTAATTTAACTAACGCTACACTGCTTTACAGACCGGGGATCTGTTAACTAGCACTAACCGCCTTCACATCCAGCAGTTGCGGAAACACCAGACTTAACGGACACACTGTGACCTACACTGCACATGTCTGCCTGACGGACAACTACTAAGTAACTTATATATAATAATTAAATAATATATATTTTCCTCTGCTAACATTCACCGTCACGTTCTCCCCGTTCTGCTGCTCGCTCTCTCTCTTTTGCTCTCACACACACTCGCTTTGCACACAGGAAACGAAAGAGCGATGAGTGTTGCTGCACGCTGTGCGGCTGAAAAACGACGTCGCAGTCCTATTGATGAGCGTGTGAAATGTTAGTAGCGTGGTCATTCATTCAGCAGCGGCGTAATGCGTCGAATACAACACTGGTCTCAGACCAGTAACAGAGATCACGGGTCTCTGTTATGTGCACACCTCCGACTGTCCGGGCGCTGCACTTCCGCAGTTCTGAAGGTTCCGCCATTTGCTTTCCGTGAACATTATAGTATAGTACAGTATAGTATAACGTTGTAAGTGAGCTGTACTGTCACTTTTCCCATTTCAGTTACGTCTTTTAACGTTAATAGGCTACGTTTTGTGAAGTGCTTGTCTTTAATCGTCCACTGCATCTGTTAGGGCCTGTCCACAGGCTCGCCATTCATCTGTGACAACATCTGAGCCTCTTCTTACATGATGTTGGTCAGCAACAGGTCTTCTCTTGAGCGATCTCTCACCACCCTGACAACGAGTTTTCTGGATGTAATTATGTTGTGTTTTTGTGCTAAAATGCAAAATGTTTAAAATTCATACAGATTGTTCATAAAGTGAAGAAACATAAATAAAATTTGTTTTCCTGCGCAAAATGTGTGTCACTTTACTTAAAGCAAACAATTACGTGTTATAAGTTCTTATATTTGTTCATACGGTATTATGTCCACCTGTAATATATTATACAGGGATAGATATTTTAACACTTTACTTAAAGCAAACAAAGACGTGCTATATAACTTTAAACATTACAATGTGTTATGGAACATGGTCGAAGATTCTTGCCGCACATTGATATAAACTGGTATTACTATTCGTTATAAAACATTAAATCAAAAGGTGATAATAGTTATGAACTTTGTTATAACGCCTAATACATGTTTGTAAGTGATTATAACAACTGTTATAATGTCTTATGGACGCATTATATTGTGTTATATATATATGTAGAAGTCATTATAGCAATGACCTTCATAGTATCGAAATATTTTATTGCTATGTGTAAAGGGAATACTGCTGGTAAAAAGCACCAAGTGTTTGCATGACTTCAACCTAAACTGAGGGTTAGGGTTAGCCAAGCTTAATCTTGAAAACCATGAAATAGGAAATAATCATACAAAATAATGATAGGACTTCACCTGAACACCTTAGTGCGCTGAACTGTGTCCCTTATAAAGCAACCTTTTTTTTCGTTGCAGCTGTGTACTAAGATCATGGATCAGAAATGTTCTTTATTGAGAGACACTTAAATATTTCGTTTGAACAAGGTACTACCATGAAGGGAGCCTAATTGAATCAAAAAAATCAATGCACTGCCTTGACAGCGAACCACTTTTTCTCAGATAAAAGAAGAGAATAACTGAAGTTACTGGGTACAACTCTCTAATAAGGCAGCCTTTAAAGCTCCTTATTAGAAAGCGGCCCCAATTTCAGCTATTCTTTAGTATAAAAGAACTTTCATGAGCTTTGAGTGGAGTGAAAAACAAAATACAATATGAACAAATTAGTCCGTATATAGACTTTAATGCATGTAAACTGAGTCTGTTGCCAAGAGGAGTTTTCAGTCATATTATTAATAATTTGAAGATTTAGCAGCCAGTTTATGTGGTCTGTAGTAGGGGATTTAACAGCAATCCCATGTGATATTCAGAACAATGTCTTGTCTGAGGCGTTATTTGCCTGATTAATCTCAATATCTGAGATCATCTTTCTTTGAGAAAAACTCATCTGATATATTAGTTGTTTTGAGCTTGAGACCAGACTGCTGTGTGAATTCTGAGGATTTGAGTCAGAGCCAAATTGTGCACATGCAGGAAAAACGTGGTCTCTTTTAAATTGCAAATGGTGTTTGTCCAAGAGTAAATCCTGTCCGGTAAACATCTCACCTCCATCATTAAGCCTATGTGCATGGCTCCTATCATGCAGTTCTTGCACAGTCCTCATGTAGCATTGAAATTCAAAACTCTTAAGTGGGGAATAATGGAGGGAATGTCTTTGATGGTTCACTCACTGTCAGTGCAGTGACAGCTCCTGCTGATAAAAGCACGGCAGGATTAGGTTGAAGGGTTTCCATGGTATTGGACTAGAGCTGCTACTTTCATGTTTGTAGCACAATGGGAAAGAGTACTTTGTTAATGTGTGACTATTGGCTGCACAAGTTACACAAGTAACTTCACAAGTGAGATCTTTTTTGGTCAAATTTCTTGATTTCTAACAGACTTTAAAACATAAAGTCAGAGTGTACAGCAAACATCTGGCTACAAAGATTTTAAAGTTGATACTACAACTCACTCATGAAATATTCCGATGTGTTACACAAAAATGCATTGGACAGAAAAGGTTAAGAGTCTACAGCCATGCTCGCAGCTCTGTGTAAAGCTGTACTAAAGTCGTGTTAACATCACACAGGATAGAGATGGGAAATATTCCCACGCTAAGGACTTGCAAGCGTTCACTACATCAAGACACTTGTTTAGTTACAGAGTTGGTTTTGTGAGAATTCAAACACTGACACTATATATAATATCCGCACAATATCACTGATTATTCAAAGTGTATGGTTTTTAGCGGCCATTAATGAACACGATTTTAGTGGGAATGGTCATTTTTGCATTTCATTTTCAGTAAACAAAATAAAAATTATGTGATTTTTACAATGGTCTGTACCAAACAAGCATGTTCCCTTAAGTCTGAAAAAATGTGTTTTGTAATTTATTATTATTATGTCTTGACACATTTAGTATTTAATAAAAAAAACTGAAATTGGATATTACACTTGGCCATATTGCAATTGTACTAATATTTTGATTAATCGTCCGGCCCCACATATGGGCTTTGGATAAAAGCATCAGACAAATTAATAAATGTAAAACAAAATATACCTTCAGTTGGGGGAGGGGGGGGGTCACAGTTAGTTCAGAGGACTGAACGCTGTAGAAGTTTTTAGACGGCAGAGATTAGAAGATATTAGCTAGAAAGTTGAAAAACAACAGCATTACAAGGCAGTGTTGCTGCTCACTCCCGGAAAATGTATATCTGAGTGCCAGCCGCTGAATACTAATGTAATGATAATGCCAAGGTCCCGATGCAATGTTAACTAATACATTGGATATTTTGTGACATAATGTGGGATGATAAAAAGAGACTGAGTGCTCAAACTGCCCTAAGACAGTCTCCTCTGGCGACAGAGATGCATCCCTGCAGGCCTAAATTGAATCGTGCAGAAGCATTTTCTCCCGACTTCAGCCTGTCTCCATCCTATCAACTGTCTGACCAAAAATGTGCTTGAACGATCACCTATTTTATAAAAAGTAAAAAGAGTTTTATTCTTTGCCCACAGACTTGAAGAATGTTGGCTGTATCACACTTGAATTTTGAAATGATTCATTTTATGCCGTAAAACAAAGCCTGAGCATGTCATACAGGGCCCAGCACTTGCTTTTGGCTGAATTACATTTAAAATGTACAGGGAGATTGGAATGGAGCAAACAAATGAATAACCCCCAACAGGAGTTGAAACAGCTGCTTGTATTGGGGGAGCTTGTGGCATCACATTTTCGTGTGTATTCATGCTCTCCGATTCAAATTCTGAATCCCTGATTTTTCTCACAGGCAGACAGCCCCTCTCCTGGCAGACATCTTCATCTTCTTTCTCCTAGTGTCTTTATTTTACACAATGACTAGTCTGTGACATTATATAAAGTAATTTTCCACAGTATTTTGTCAACATTGTAATTGCCTTTAATGAGGTTTTAGTTGCAAATAAACAATGAGCTGAATTTTGTTTTGTCCCAGGAAAAGCAGTTTCAAAGTGCAACAATTAGTGGCCTGTGGTGATGCAGATGTTGCTCTAGTACTGTAAGATTTACATGTGCTGCCACTGTGTTCTCTAGTGTCTGTAGAGCCTTAGCACCAGCTGCACACGTCTTTATTAGCAAGCGCCCAGAGCAAAATCACAAAAGAACAGGACAAGGTCAGCTTGTACAATTATCCCCCCCTCACCCTTGAGAATTTTTTTTGCGAACCACAACCTTTCCTCTGCCTTGTCTGAGCTGTACAAAACACAACCTTAAATGAACTGCCAGCCCTTACCAGAGCTAAATCCTAACTTAAGACATAAAATGAGTCAGTGTAACTGTACACACTTCCAAATCAAATGTCAAGACAAGATCATAACAAGATGGGCCCCGTTTCCCAAAAACATCTCAGAAAGTTAAAGGCTAAATCTGGTACAATGCATCTCTTCTTTGTATGAGATTAGTGTTTTTATGTACATGTTCCCTGACAAATATACTAAACATGGACCACCAACACATTCTGTGAAGTGACATTTAATTTAACATGAGGGTTTAGATTTAAAAATATTGTAATCATACAAAAAAAGTAATTGAACATTTGATTTGCTCATTTGACAGTTTCTGTCATCCTCTTCTTCCTGTTTTCATGTTATGTTAGGATTTCAGTTTTCATTGCTTTTCTTTATAATTGTGGTGCAAATGTTGTCTACCACAATCTTAACACAAACACACACACACACACACACAGACACCAAGATAAAAGCTGTAGACTGTTGGCTGCACATAAGGCTATTTTTTCATACTGATGAAGTGCAAAACATTTCTGTTCTGTCATTTACAGCATGTAATTTATGTTCTGTATTTTAATATATACCACTGCTTACTGACAGTTAAATGCGCCTCATTACATTAAAGTGTATTCAGAAGGTCTTAACTCTGTGCAAACGCACACCTTTGTGTGCATGTGCACTCGCTCTTAAGTGCTTAACAACGTTAGAAACACTAACTTCTAAGATGGTTCATCATCGGGGTACAGAGCCAGTATTTGCCAATGTCTTAAGCAAGAAGAAATCTAATTTTCTCTTAAGATGAAAAAATTTCATTTTCTATTTTTACAGGTTCCAAAGTTGATTTGAATATTTAATGGGAAATGTGACTGCATCACGATTCAGCACAGATACCTACTATTTATCTATAAGAAAGAGTAAAAGCAAAAAAAGTGCAACGAAAAGTAACAATATTACCGTTTTCACAGCTGTACAGACAGCTTTTGTATAACATATTTCCAGTATAAAAGGCTGTGTAGGCTTCCTACTGTATGTGATGTTATACCCATTTCTGTATGTCCACATTAGCTGTTGTAGAGAGGCACCACCCTGTCTATAGTTGCCCTGCAGATGGGGCATTTCTTTGGCTCTGGCAGGGCGTCGTAGCACTGGGCACAGGCACACACATGACCACACTCCAGAAACACGCAGGAGCGCTCACGGCTCAGGCAGACAGTACAGCCGGTGGGCGACACGCTGCTTTCCTCCAAGTTCAGTTCACGCATACGTTTCTTCTGCTGTTCCTTGAACTCCTCAAGCATGCTCCTCTCCTTCTTACTCCGTCTGTGGTGTACGTATCGCTTCCACAGGATGAAGAGGAGTGTGGAACAAGCGGCAACACCGAAGACAAGGGTCAGAATCCTCCACAGTCTGACGCTGTTTCCCTGCTTCCTGAGAAGAGACTCGTAGTCCAGCCGGGTGAGAAAGTAACAGAAGCCCTGTTTGGGAGGTTGGAGCTTGATCAGGTTGTTATCCAGGACCAGCTCTCCTACACCCGTGATGCTGTCTCCCAGGCGCAGCATCTCCTCTGTTTCGTGGATGCCCTTGGGACGTTCTCCGCTGATGAAGTGGCCGATAACGTTGGACAAGGACTGGACTGTGGGGTGGAAGTTCTCGTAGGTGGTCTCCAGGTCCAACTCCGCAGCGTCTAGTGGACGTATAACCCGTACTGTGGCAGCAATTTCATCATCATGAGACCCAAGGGCAAATGGAACTGTGTTGGTGCGCTGGTGGATGACCTTCTCTGTGTTGTTCCTGTTTATAAATATAAACAGCTATGAATGTTTTGTTTAGGGTTAACTATTATTGATTAATCTAACAATTATTAGAGTCCTGAGTCCAAGATAACGTCTTCAAATGATGATTTGTCCAACCAATAACCCAAAACACAAATACATTCAGTTTGCATTGCAATGATATAAAAGCTGATATAACATACAGTACAGGCCAAAAGTTTGGACACACCTTCTCATTCAATGCGTTTCCTTTATTTTCATGACTATTTACATTGTAGATTCTCACTGAGTGATCGGTGATCGGTATCAGCCGATGCTGCTTTCAGCAATCGGCCCAAAAAATCTAATTAAAAGGTAGGAAAAATAAGGTCTTTGGGGAAATATGAGAAATAATTTTCCTCTCAGGCGTGTTGGTGTCAGTGTTAAAGAGTGAGGAACACACCAGCAGCATCTCAATGTACCGAGGTGACATTTGCAGGTTATGTTTACATGCTGTTTAATGTGCTGCAGCTGAGCAGCTAATTAGCTATCTAGCCTGCAAACTGATATTAACAGTGCACTTTTCCCCAGTGACTCATTCCAACAGGCTAGGACAAGATTTGTGTTCCCGTTTATAAGTTGGTTTAAGAAGGATACTTGTGATTCCAGAGCAGATATGTATGCTGTAGTAGACATTGGTTTAATAATGTAATTTAATTTCAGTTGGACTTAAAACACAGCAGCACAACACAATACTTAAAAACTCAGAAAAACAGAATAACAATATTACAAGCCTCACTGACTTACCAGAGATGTGTGGTGCGATTCCACACCATCTTTTCCTCCTTCAGAGTCAGTCTTTCAACTACGCCTTTGCAGTTCTCAACAAACTGGCTGCTCAGAGTTTCCTTCACAGATCTTACAACACCTGCAGTAATAAAAAACATTTTAAACATGCACAGTGTAAAACTACTGCTAGAATTATTACCTTACATGAGCATGTTAATTAGTATGATACATACAGTACGATAGAATTTAATAGTAAAAATACACTCCTGACCACAGTAACTTCACTTAGGCTTTCAATGTGGCCCAACAAACCTTCTACGACAGCATACGGGACACATCTTCCAGGAGTTTCAGACAAGATGTTTTTCAAATCCTGGTCAATAGACACTTTCTTGGCTTCCTGTGGAAATAAAACACATCAGATTAATAAATGGAGCATTACAGCCAATCAATTCCCCCACTACTGACATTCACACGACAAAGACGGAGTGAGTTGAAATGTGGCTAACCTTTAATCTGGCAACAGTTGTAGCTCTGCTCTTGTATATGGAATAGAAAAGTGCAGTCAGGGCTGAGCTGGTGGCTAACACCACGATCTGTGCAGTTGAGGTTTTCCCACTGGAGTCCATCCTGTGATTTGCAGCATTCAGTGCTGTTGTGACAGAGAGGACGAACACTAAGATAGAAAAGTGTCTTTCACTTAAAAATATATGTTTGTTGTTGTTGTTACAAAAAACCAATGGCTGGAAATTTTGATTTCAAATGAAAAACAAAGATAATCACTATACAATAACATATGACAGAAAAGATCAGCAAATCTGGATCCAGAAAATGTGTGGGATTTCATTCACGGTTTGCTTTCTTGACAAAAAACTGTAACAATAAAGCAATAATCATAGTAGATACATTTCAAAAGGGAAATACAATTCCTTTTACTGTGCTAAATTAATTGGACAGCTAGTTGCTTTGTAAATGAAGATTTTACATGCAATCAGCTTTTAAAATCAGATACAAGCTGAAGATAAAGGTACTCAACAGTATTTTAAGTAGTTTAAATTACCTCGCTTTCAATCACACCAATAAAATATATATATATATATATATATATATATATATAACATAGTACTCTCAAAGTGGCAAAATACTTTGATGCCTTAAAAGTACTTTTTTTTTTCTATAAATAAAAGTTTGAATTCTAGACTTTCAACTTCTATCAGTGTTTTTACATTGCGGTATTACTACTTTTGCATAAGCAAAGGGTGTTAGTATTTCTTCCACCACACACAAAATAACAAGACACACAAACTGACTGTGGACAGACAGTAAATGAGCAAAGGCGCTGTTAGATTTATTTAAGGATACACTGAACTGCCTTGATAATAGTCCACAGAGGAAGTCCCTTTTAGAAGAAGCCATGGACTGACTCAGTGGTAAAATAGACATCTTGCTTTTATTGGCTTCCTTAAGGTCATCCATGATCCTCGATCGATTGTATATTGACACGCTTTGCTTGGTGGTGTCCATAAAGTGACACGATTAAACGCTGGCCATTCACCACTAGCTAAAGTGACGTAAACACAAGATAACTTAATGCTAACGCTAATTAAATCACCACCTTGATGCTGATATTGCACTTTGTCATATAATGCTTTTGTATGTCATTTATTTTGAACCCTCTTCAACCCAAAAAAACGTAGCGTTAGCGTGCAAACCAGCCTTACATTTGTTAAGTGTCACACTTCCTTATTAACTGAGCACACCAACTAGCTAGCTAAATTAGCAGTTTGCTAGCTAGCTCCAGCCAAGTTGACGTGATTTAACCACCCGTTTAAAAGATATTGAAGCGGTCTTGCTACAAAGCATAATAATACGTAATAATCAGTACTGTTAAAGGATTTGTCAAACCTGAAATTACACACCACGCACGCACTGATGGCAGGGCTTTAACAACAGCTTCTGGTCTCCACAGTTCAAATTAAATATCAGCAGCTCCTGAAGTGCAATCTTCCTCCCTGCCAGCAGGTGTCGGTGTAGATTCATTTGTTGGAGAGCTGTTGGGATTTTTTTACCCACCCATTTTTACCACATTACACATTTATACCACATTTTTACCCACTATTACCTGCAAAAACTGAAAAAGGACACTGATATCAGCTGTACTTTCTGAGGAGAACTGAACGAAACGCTGGTGCATTTATTTTGGTCTTGCCCACATACCAAGAAACTTTGGAGCAAAGAGCCACAATTTATTGTTGTTGATATTTACCCTCAGTTTGCATTATGGTGGCAAAATGTATTGTTTGGATTCACTAAAAATGACAAAGATTTATGTTCAGAATATTATGGGATAAATTTGCTTATTATTTAAACCAAATTTTATTTGCACAAGTCAAAATTCTTCAAAAAGAAATCAAGATTTCTGGAGCTTGCTGCTAACATTAAGCATTATGTTCTTTCAATATCTGAGTGTACAAAAAAAAAATCTGTTAAATCATATGACCTCTGTAAGTTTTACAAGATATTTATATTATTTATATTTTCCTTTTGCCTATGTTTAGATGAAAATGGGCTCTGTCTTTGCCCCATTATTATTATTGATGTAGAACTGTTCACTGTTGGTGATTATATTTACTATGTAACAATGCATTGTATTTTCATGCTCATAATAGATTTTTGAATTCTTCATCTGCAAAGTAACTAGTCACAACAGGTATCTGGTGAATGTAGTGGAGGACAAAGTATATTTCCCCCTAGAATGTAGCGAATTATAAAGTAACATTAAATTTAAAGACCTCAGGTAAAGTAACTCAGAATTGTACTTAAGTACAGAAGCCTACTTGAGTACTTGTACCACCACTGCACACTGCACACTTCACACAAGTGAAAGCAGGTTTCAAGTTGTAATGTATTCACACACAAAAAGTCCCAAATTTGCTCAAAGAAAGCCAACGTACATAAAAAATGCTTTGAGTGTGCTGTTGATGTACTCTTAGTGCAATTCACAAAGGAAATGGAGGAACTACTCGCAGTAATAATAACACATTAAACACAGTAAAAATAACTTTTGGACAGTCAAACATCCCAAACCAGGTTTAATCATTTACACACATGATCTAATTCTTAGGTTCAAAAATACTTTTTGGTTTAAAGTCCCGAGTTACTTTGAAGGTGTAAAGATCTCACAATTCTTTAGCTCTAAAATAATACCAAGTACGAGATGATATTTGGTGGTGATCACGTGTACTTTATATTCTTTATTTAATTAAGTTGTCTCCTTGAGAGGATGCTTAGTAGCTTAACATACCAGCACTAAGGCTCACACATTTCACAAAACTTCACAATGGTCAAAGCTGGGATCATATCTATTTATACAATAAAATGACCCACTGGCTCCCTCAGATATAGAGTAAGTGTGAAGTGTAATTGTAGAACTAGATCTCTTTTTAGCTGTGCTCTAGGAGGAAAATCCAATTTAAAAAAAATTAACATTAATGGTGGCTCAGTTTGCTTTCCCCTATTCAGCCTTGCACTTATTATTAATGCCAGGCCTATCACCTCTTTGCTCCTCTGTGCCCAAAACAAATATAAATAATTATTCACTGATAAAGTAATTAAGTAATTGGTCAGATGTACATTATTTCAGTCATTAAATGTCTTTATTATGCCCAAGCACTAGAAGTCTCAAGAGAATCAAAATAAGTATTCAAACTTGACTCTAAGAGTGTTTTTCTACTTCCATCTTACATTTACAAATTCTTCTTGTGTCGCTGCAGAGGACATAAAGTCAGTGCTATAATTAAATTAATACAGATTCCAACCCATAAAAATGTGAGGAGGCACCCACAGGCCACCTGGAAGGTGCGATGACTTTCTTGTCCTGAGTTGACCCTCTCAGCTAGCGGCATACAAATTATGCTTTCTTGACTAGTATTGATGGCAGACTGCAACCTTTAACCATGACTATGGGTCTACTTATAACTGCCATCAGTGTACACACTTGCACACATTTGGACAAATGTCCAGGAATGGATTAGATGTTGTCAGACAACATAAGGCAGAGTGTGAGTCAGTAGATTTATAACAATGATTTCAGTTGCTTCTGTTTTGATTGATTGCACCTCTTCTCTGTCAAGAACCATATTTCAGCAGAATAACTAAATTTGCCTTTTTTTATTGCTTCTTTGCACATTCTCATTACATCATGCGTATGATGTATTTTTTCACCATGTGATGAGTTTTCAACAGGACGCTGTTCTGAACTAAAATGTTCTCTTTCTTGAAAATCTATGATCCATGCACAGCTAACACTGACTGTGACTGTCCACAATGTCCAAAGAAACATAAAACATATGTTCTACACATTTCTGTCATTTGAGTTAAGTGCAACATTGATCCCTAAATGGAGAAACTATGCTACTTCAGTGATTTTCTGTGAGAGACACTAGGGACGTCCAGGTGATGGGTTGTATTGGCAATATACCGTGTGTCCCAAACCATTTCTGATTATTTGCTCCAGGTTCTCCAGCTGTCAGAAACACACCACTCTAATCCATTAAAAACACAAGTGGTGCTCAGTGGTGTGAGTGAATAAACCAAAAGTGAACCATGGAGCAAACAACCAGCAGCCAGTTTCAATCAATGATAGCTTGCATCAAAGCAAGAAGAACTGCTTTGGGTTATAAAAACGTAGCGTACCTACCTATGGAAATCTTGTCCAAACTTAGACTGATACTCCATTTCACTACCAATATTCAGCCTGACATAACCTTCCTACTAGATGCTTTCTAATAAAATTATATGCCCTAACTCATTGTGTTATATTTTACACTGTTCTGCAATCATCTTCTGCTTTTTCGTTGTTTTAGCCAGTGTACAGTAAGCATACGTCATATTTTTTCAACGTGTGATCATGGTTCCCATCATGACCACAGTTTTTTGTATCTTGACGCCTCAAAGTCATTTATTACAATTTCACTTTGACAGCTTAATTCGGAGAGATTAACATTAAAGGATGAGGTTGGAAATTATTATTATTATTATCATTATTATTGTTGTTGTTGTTGTTGTTATTATTAACTATCCACTGTGCTCCTCTGAATGTCATTTTAACCACTGCAAAATTATGGGATGTGGTCTGTAATAAACATGGACAATTTGCAGGACCCACACGTTGTCTATGAATATCTGGCGTTTACAGTTTTTTTATGCACAAATTGAAAATGTGCATATAAAAAGGTTTAGAATGTACCTTGAAAGGCACTTTAGAAGGTATGGTCATCAAATGTAAAGAATTGAGTGAAATAGCCTAATAACTCACAAATGCAAACTGTGATGATCACAAAAGTTTTATTATTTGCATCAGTCAATCCAAAGCTTGATAGCCAGACAAAATATTTTGTCTGCACTGAATCAACTAGATCTTCTCTGAACTACTCTTTAAAAACTTCAGAGGATCAATAATGTAACAGGAAGACTCATCTGGCTGAATCAGTCTGACATAATCAACCTGACATGTGGATGATTAGCCTGCGAGAATTTGCGGCTTGCTCCTGACAGGAAAAAGGGCAACCTTGGTTTCAACCCCGGAAAAAAGAACATAAAAGTCCTCGGGGCTTGTATTAAACATTAGTCATCTAGTTTTTTGAGTCTACCTTGCAGATCCTGTGGCCCCTCTGCCCACGTAAATCTCCCACTTCCTTACTTTCTTTGTATCTGTCACATAAGGACTTCCGATCAAATGCAGGCCTGACACACATTCACGTGGATTTCAGACAGAAATAGTGGCTGCAGATGGAGGCAACAGCTTAATGGGAGGAGTGCAAAAGGCGAGAAGTACATCATATGTGTCCTCTTGATGCTGTAGTGTTGAAAGGATGACAGTTGGAATTTGCTGCGACTGGTGCAGATAAGCCTGGCACCTTTCCAAGCTGTGCTCTAGACAAACTCAATTCCCTGTAAAGCTAATCCAAACATAACTGAATAAACATATGTTGAAATTATGAACATGTAATTTCCTTTTTTAAAATATCAGAGTATTTAAGTGCAGATCAGAAGAAATTATTCCTTAAAAAATTATAAGTAAAAATAAAACTTTTCAAATATCCGATTTTATTACTTGCATTGTTGATTCAACCTAATAGCACCTTTGCACCCATACTGCACTGCTCACAGTACTTTAACATACATGTTATTTGCACTATTGATATTTTTGCACACTCTACACCATTTAATAATATTACTGTACATATAACCAACTGTAAATATAACCTAATATGTATACATTATTATACTCTGCATACCAAAAGCATTGATGCTGTTTATACTGTACATATAACCTTACATTTGCACTCTCCACTCTCTAACTGTCCACTACTTCTTCTATACGCTTTGAATATACTGACAGATACTGTATATTATCTGTTTAATGTGACTCAACTGTACATATTGTAAGATATAGCATCATTGCACTTATCTTTATAAAATCACTATATTTCTGCACTTCAGGTTATGCTAATTGTACCTTATTAGCTCTGTACCCGTACTCTGCATAATAACAATAAAGTTAAATATAATCTAATCTAAAATATAACATCGCAAAGTCTTTATTAACATCATTCAGGTGGCTTTCATGGATTCAAACATTCGATATCTAGGATGGATCAAAAGTCTCTGGGCATCTATACAAAAATGTTCAAGTGCAGTGTCTCTCCTGTAAAACCCAATTGGAATAATTGTACTATTTGTTCTGCTCTCTCACCGTATCGCACAGCTTTTAGCTCTATCTTGGCATACAGTCTTTTCATTCTCCCACTGAAAAGCAAATTATTTGGGAAAGTCTCAGTTCCTTGAGATATATTGAAATCAGCTGGCATCCTGTGACTGGAGGATTGCCTCTGAGGATTACTCAACAAGGATACTGGATGTATAATTAAGCTATTTGACTTTATTATGGCAAGTCTCATATTCTGTATTTCAAAACTTCAAAATTGTGACACATTTACCTGAAACA